TCACTAATGCCGAGGATATCAATCTTTATGCGTTCCATTTCCTTTTTGACAACTTCCAATTTTCCTAGATTCATACTTCGTACATTCTATGTTCCAATGATTAATGGATGTCAATACTATTACTACCTACATTTTACCCATAAGACAGTTCGAGGCACAGAGAAGTAATGCCACTACCCCAGTTCATATAAGGTTAGTCAGGGGCAGGATTAGCACCCCCAGCCAGCTCCAGACCTGTGCTTTTCCTCCCATACTCCCCACCACCCAGGGATTCTTCTAGTCCTTACAGTAGCCAGCTGAGCTTGCCAGCTACAGGGGCAGCCTCTGGCTTCAGCTGGGGTAGGTTTTCTTCTTTCTCAGCCTCTTATCTTCCCAAGAGGGAAGACTTTCAGAGGGACATTTCATTGGGAGAGGAGGATTGTCCTCTCTCCCTCCACAAGGTACTAGACAACACTGGACATGTTGCCATCCACTGGTCTCATGACATCGTGGTGCCTAGGCTGGCCCTTTCTGGTCAGGCTGGTTGGAGCATGTGGGGGCTATCATGCCAGTGCAGGGTTTAACTTTTCTGGGTGTCAAGAAGGCCCTGGCTACCTGAGGCACTTTCAAATGTTTCTGCTCAGTCATCAAGGACAAGCTGTGTATGAAGACACTAGGGCCCTCTCATGGAAGGGGCAAGAGAGAGAATAAAAAAATGGTGCTTGAGTATGAAAAATGGGCTGAGAAAAAATGTGGACAAATAAACAGAGTTGGAATTGATGGAGTGAGATTGTGATGATGAATGAGTTGTTTTTCTTATTTCATGGGAAATGGGCCCAACCAGGCCAGGCCAGTCAGAGCCACTGGGGCAGCCTGACTTGGCTATACTTAAAGACCCTCTAGCTGGCTTGGGCTGCTAATCCTGCCTCTGACTCACCCAGGGCTGCACCTGATAGGCTAGGCCCCTGGCTGCTGCCCTCACACTATGTTGTTGCCTGAAAAGGTACTGCTTGTGACAGGCCTGGCCCCTTCACCAGGCCACCTTTTCCAGTCCTCAGGATCCTCGGGTCCACAGCCTAGGACTGGACAGAAGAGTTCAATCTTTCAGCTCTGAGAGTGGCTGGCCGTGAAGTCAGGGAAGTCAGGATGCACAGCTCCATTGCCCCTCCTGGCAGTGGGACCTCTGGTATCAGGCTGCCTGCTCTAGGTCCCACTCTGCCACCTTCTGGTATGTTGCTCAAGAGCCTCAGTTTCCCCTTCTGTGATGTGGGGGAACAGCAACATCTACCCGGCAGGGAAGCTGTGGGGATTGATTGCTCTGGCATGCACAGCATTAAGGACAGGACTTTGCCCATAACAGGAGCTCAATAAATATGGTCTCTAAAAAGTCTCCTTCTGGAAGTCTCCTTGTCAGACTTGGAAACTTAGATTTTAGGAAGCATCTCTGTGTCACACTAAGAGGAGGAATGGAGCTTTGTGTGTTACTGTCTTTCCTTAATCTGAGGCTCCTTCTCTGAGAGCTGGTTCTTGAGGTCCAGAGCATGTGTGGGCACTTTTGTGCTGGCTTGTGGAGCCTGAGGTTGGCATTGGGAGAGAGAGATTGTTCCTGGCCTGGAATCCTGGGTCAGCCAGGCCTGCTTGGAAGAGTGTGCACTGAGAGTATGGAAGGCATCTCTCCTGGTTCTTGTTTTCCCAGTGGATGAAGTGAACCCCCAGAAAGGTTTTATAAAATTCCAGCTGGCCTGCATAGCATGCGCTTGGCTCTGGAATTGTCCAGTATAATTGGCTCATGCTTGTCACACTCCCCTCCCAGACAGGGAATAGTCAAGATACATACACTCAACTTTTAAGTTTCAGGTCCGAAACAGGGGTGGGCATTTGCTTTTTGTTTTCTTGTCTTCTTTTGCTTTTGTTTTCGTGTTCTCATTAATGCCTGTAATGGATGGAAAGAGGCATCCAGATAGATGCCTAGAGTCTGAACAGAATCTCTTACAGAGAGAGAGAGAAAGAATGAGGAACGTCAGTGGTAGTGTTTCCAGTTGCAGATGTCTCTACCCATTTAACTCTGTTGCCGTGTGGGGGTCCTGGAGCTGGAGAGGTAGAAGGCTCCTGTGCAGCACCTGTCATCACTGTCCTTTTTTCCATTCACCCTTTGGAGTTTGAACTGATCCTCTGCCACACTCTAATGCAGAAAGCATTGTTCACCCTCAAGCTGCCCAGAATTTTCCACTGTGCAGTAGTACCCTTACCCCACGGCCTGGTGAGGGCATCCTTGGCCACCACAGCTCTGCCATCCCAGACCTGCCTCTACTGCAGTGGCCCTTGGTAGATGCAGTCAACCAGGAGTGAAGTTATATGGTCTGGTGGAGAGCAGTGTCCGCCGTGGGGACTGATGGAAGCTTCTTTATTGTTGTCCTTAAGAAGCTGTAGCCCTAAAAGGGAGTAAAAATCGGGGTATGGGTAACAGTGTTAAGGGGGCTAAGGGGAACCTTGGGCAACAGAAGTCATTTCTCTCTGAGCTTCTGCCCCCTCTTACCTGGCCCTGCCTGATAAGCTTCCTACATAAACAGTGAGAACTGAATTCTTCAGGGGGCTGGCTACAATCTGAGGCCTGACCTGGCAGTGCTGCTTCAGAGTCCAGTGTCAAGAGTACCAGGGTGCTCACTGGAGCCATGGTTGAGACTGTCAGAGACCCAGGACAGCTGCTCACCAGTGTGCTACCTCCACACGACTGTGTGACTATCACATAAGGAGGTACTGCCCCTTCCTTCAAGAGTCCTTGGCCCCATCTTGGCCCTCTCTCCCCATGAAGAAACAGGCTTATGCACATGGAAAGTGCATGGCCCCATGGCCTTCTAAAGCCTGGCCTGGCCTATTGAGCATATCAAGATGGGAGAACCAGGAAGGCTTGAAACAAACATGTGGCACCAAGCAGGCCAGTGATGGCCACAGGAGAAGGATGAGGCTCACCTAGCGGAATGAGGGCTGCAGAATTAGTACTCATGTGAAAGAGTCTGTAAAACAGGAGGCTGAACCATACAAAATCGCTACTTTTGTAGGTCATGAACAGCTGACAACTGACAATTTCATGTGGTTCATTGTGATATAAGTAAAGAACCAAGTGAGAGGAGCCATCCATGTGGAATGATCTTAAATATGTGTGGTACTATGTGTGTGTACGTGGTAGTGCACAGGCAGGAGGGTCCTGCCAGGCCAAGCCCGCCTACTCTGAAAGGAAGTGAGGATTGTACTGAGGAAACAAAAACAAGGTGATATGGGCCCCTTGCATCCACCTTCGCTCATTGGAAGGGTGATGGCTAGGGTGAAGTTTACTGTAGACTCCAGACTGTTAAAGAAGGATGTTCTTTCTTGAACAGACAAGCCAAGAGCTCATGACTCTCCGAGACGTAGGTTGGCATGCGGAACCTCCACTCCTGCTCAATGGCAGAGCTAATGCAGCCAACCCCTCTGCATCCTCACAACTCCTCCCTTCCCCCATCCAGGCATCACATAAGGATACTGAGGAGGCCCTGCAGAAGCGCCTGGACGAGATCAGCCAGGAGCTCTGCCGCTCCCAAACCAGCCACGCCAGCCTTCAGGCGGATGCAGAGAAGGCCCAGGAGCAACAGCAGCAGATGGCGGGTAAGGGTGTACTTCTCAGGTGCGGGCATGGGCTCCACGGGTGGGCAGGTTGGTGCTGGGTCCAGGCACCACCCTGTCCCCAGAACTTTTGGAATGGGCCAACCTTGATCTAGTGAGTGCAGCCCGGACCCAGAGCTGTGCCCTCACAGAGAGCCAACAAGAAAGGGACTGAACCCTGTAGCTGAAGACTATGTGTGGAGGACTAGAAGGTGCTACGCCTGAGTCTCTCCTGGGCCTATGGGGTGCCCCCTTCCAATCTTGCAAGCCCTCATTCTGCTGGGTGAGCCTCATCCTTCTCCTGTGGCCATCACTGGCCTGCTTGGTGCCACATGTTTGTTTCAAGCCTTCCTGGTTCTCCCATCTTGATATGCTCAATAGGCCAGGCCAGGCTTTAGAAGGCCATGGGGCCATGCACTTTCCATGTGCATAAGCCTGTTTCTTCATGGGGAAAGAGGGCCAAGATGGGGCCAAGGACTCTTGAAGGAAGGGGCAGATAGTGCCATGATAGCTTGACATCCAATGTGCACTTCTTATATTTTCAGTGACTGTCTTGTGCTGAGCATGGTCACAGGCACTGGGAAATCTCAGGACAAAGTGGCATACCAGGACTACCCTCTAGCAAGGGAACTGGCATGGTCAGATATATAAACCTGCCACAGAGTCTCTTCACACTGCCTCCCTCTGCCACTCCAGTGCAAACGAAGCCACATACAGTATGAAATGGGCCAGGCTGTGTCCCAGTAAAGCTCTATTTACAAAAGCAGGCTAAGGGCCCATTTCAACCATAGAGTGTAGTTGGCTGACCTCTGATCCAGATGGTCAAGTGTGGCTTTAGATTGGTGGTATAATAGGCCTCACTGGGTTAGGAGAGTATCTAAGCTGAGGTCTGAGTGATAAGAAGAGGTGGCCCTGCAGTGACTAGGGACCCAGGGAAGAGAGGTGGCTGGTACAGGGCCCTGAGCTGGGATGAGCTTGATGTGACATCATGAAACGGTCAAGTGGTAAGAATACTAGGCCAGGAGGGCAGGCCTGGGTATGGTGTGAGTGTGCCAGAAAGTGACTGGAGGGCTTGAGGCAGTGGATGAGGCTGTGTAATTACCACTTTGGACACTGGCACTGGGTGGAGAGTGGACTGTAGGGGCAAGCCAAAGAGTGTGATGAGGCTTGGCCCAGATGACCATGAGGTGTAGGTAGGCAGAAGGTGGGATGTGGTGCCAAAAGGCCATACCAGTGGCTGGGGCGTGAGGGCAGGCAAGGTGAGGGGCCTGTGCACTCAGGTGATATCAAGCCAAGCTGCTTAATTAGTGTCACTGGAAGGGCAGATCATAGAGCCATGAACACGTGGGTAACATTTAGAGCCGTGGGACTGTGTCAAGTCACCTGGAAGGAAGACAGCCAGGGAGGAGACCCAGGGGGGCGGGGTAGAGGGGAGAGCAGAAGTCAGCCAGGGAGACAAAGTAGGCAGGGCCAGCTGGATCAGAATTTCTGCCTGTCACCCTGCCCTGGTCTCTGCTATGAGCTCTTAGAGAAGGAATTCTTAAAAATTTCAGCTCAGATCCATTCTGTGGTCTTCCATGGAGGATAGATGGGGACTTCATTCCACCCTAGTGGGTCCTGAAATGTGATAAACCCAGTCAGATATGTGTCTAATATCCCTGGCATACAAGCCGGCACAAAGTGTGGAGGGTACAGCTTCGACTTCTCTCATCTTCCTTTTCTTGTGACAGAGTTGCACAGCAAGCTGCAGTCCTCAGAAGCAGAGGTGAAGAGCAAGTGTGAGGAGCTGGGCAGCCTCCAGGGGCAGCTTACAGAGGCCAGGGCTGAAAACACACAGCTCACTGAGAGAATCCAGTCCATTGAGGCCCTGCTGGAGGCCGGCCAGGCCTGCAAAGCCCAGGTCAGCCAGGTCTTCTCCAGGGTTGACGAGGGGAAGAAGGGCACCATCTGCATCCCCCACTTGCTGTGTAGCAAAAGGTAGTGAAAAGTGAATGAGCTGTCTGTCTCTGTTCCAGGCCAGCCAAGCGGAGGCCGACAAGCAGCACGCCCGGTAAGCTGGTGAGGCGAGGTCGCTCTGTGCAGGGCCATCAACTGGTTCCCACTGAGACAGGCCTGTGTCAGAGGTCTTCCTTCCTCCAGTGACAAAAGGGCAGGGGTGGCCTGGCAGGAGGGAGGAGCCAGGACTCACCTATGAGGGTGATAAAAGGTACCTCAGTGTCATGAGGATCCTGCCACCCACTGTCTGTTAATGGGGAAGGTTTGGCTGGCTAGAAGGTTCTCTGTGTCTTTACAGGTAGGACTAAAGGTGAGGAATTTTAGGGACTAAAGATAGTAAATCAAATAGGAAAAATTATCACAAAACTCAGAATGGAGGAGGACCTGAGACGTAACCTGGGCTTTTTGCTACAGATCCATAGATCCAGGGCATTGATCAATTTAGAACTAGCCATGACAGGGTTGTGTTCTTTTATCCATGAAGTAATTACCCTGTGGCCCAGACCTTACCCCGCTCAGGGTCAGCAGGCCCCAGCTAGGCATGATCAGAGACTTTACAAGGTTGAAGGTGGGGCTAACACCTGAGCAAGTCTGGCCACAGTCCTTGGGACCATTACCTGGTACTGGTGCCCATGAGGCTGAGGGTCCACGGAGCCAGTCCCAGGGGAGGAGGTGAGCATGGAGGATGTCCTCCACCCCATGCAGATAGCTGGATGTGTCCTAGGCATCCAGCTGACCCGGCTCCCTCATCTTGGCTGCCACTGCTGGTGACATACTTCTTATCCAGTGCAGCCCCAGGCCACAGTTCTGTCATCTCCAGCATCTGGCCCTGTGGTTGGAAGCCAGCCTCCAACAGGCCCAACATGCCTCATGGAAGACCCAGCTCAGCCCCTTGCTTGACTTCCCCAGTACCTTTTCTCCAGAGAGCTTGGGCCTACTTTGTTCCTAGGCATGGTTGTGGGGCAGGGAAGTTGTGTTTGTTGGGGTTTCTGCTCTTGTACTTTGAGATCTTGGACCACAGAGTGAGTTACTAGGGTCACTGAGTCCCATATTAAGAGGCCCAGGTTTCATTTTTTCATCTCAGGCAGAAGTGTCTATCTGGAAGAAATTCAGTTTTTATTTCCTTCCCAAACAAGTTACCTGAAAGTTGTATCTAGGTCAGGTCATCCCCTCTGTTGTGGAGATTCATAAACTAGAATGCCCCAGACATTCTAGAATCAGACCCCTGCCTGGGCCTACTTGTCTCTCGTCTTCAGGGTTTTGTTCCCCTGGGCCCTGCACTAGGGCTTACTGGTTGGAAGCAAGTTGCATAATGGGAGGGTCTGGGGGAGAGTTGTGAGGCAGAGTTCACGAAGGGTACCCAGCAGGGCTTTGGGGTGGGATTAAGGTCTGTAGTATGAAACCAACAATATTTAAGGTAAAACCGTGAGGCTTTATTGTGACCAGAGTCCATTAGGGCCTTGTCAGTGTTGCCACGAGCAGTAAAGTAAAATGGGGCTTTCTACAGTGTTCTGACTGTGGCTCACAATAAGAAAAACAAATACAGATCCGCACATGTATAACTGAAAAGAGTTTGACAGACCAATACTTGCCTTCACTACCGGTGATTCTGTGGTTTTCTTTTGTCTTGTATTTTGCTTAAGAGAAGTGCTGGTACCCCCATTAAATTGTTTTCCTAATGCATGGCTGTGCCACCACCTGGACATGGGCGAGGGTGTGTGGGCAAGTGAAGGTGTATGTGTAGGCCTGTGTAGGCTGGCTGATGGCTGGCAGGGTGACCTACCAAAGCCCAGTACCTCCCTATGTTGATGGCAGCCCACTTCTGGGGCAGAAACTTCTTCCCTGCACCTCAAAATGACTCTAGTTGTTTTGATTCAAATCCATATGAGCCAGCTCTGGACTTTAGGTTTCATGTGGCCCTGGGGCATTCCCCATCTGTTCTAAATCTTAATGCAAAAGGTAACATATTAAAGTGCCCACTGGAAGCTTGTTCCTCTGAAAAACTAGTGTAGTTCTAATGTCACCTCTTCCCTTTTCTGGATGAGGATGGACTCAACCCACTGGGCCCTTGGGCCTGGGAAGAAACAGGAAGTGCTAGGACCAACATCTCACCAATCGCATATTATTGATATCACTGTAATCCCTCACACCCCAGGGACAGAATGGAGGGAGAAGCCCCTGGTCTTAGAAGAGTTTGATTTTAGACACAGAATGGCCTGACTTCCCAGTGGAAAACAGCCACTTGGGGCCCATCCTGCATTGGCCACAGTGGCCTCTTCAGCCCCTCCTGGTCCCACCAGCCAATGGGAATCTGGAGCAGCCTCTGGATTCTGCACCCTGGCCCCTGGCACTAAGGACTGATGGGTGAGGAGGTAGAACTGGGCAACCATAAGCAGAGGAAGAACACCTGAGATGGAACCTGGCAGGGCTTGCAGGGCCTCAGGACCAGGGCAGTGAACCCACTGTTTTCAGCTTCCAGGAGCTGGAGTCCCAAGTTTTGTCTCTGGAGAAGGAGGCTACTGAGCTCAGAGAAACTGTCGAACAGCAGAAGATGAAGAACAACGTGAGTGTCTGGGGCAGGCACTGCTACAGGGAGAGGGGATTAGGTCCAGGCAGGGCCTAGGATGGAGAGAACCAACTTGAAGAACATTTTCTCTGAAACCTGCCCCAACCTGGTCTGGAGAGGGCTTTGCGGGCCATGCAGGTCACCTGGCTCTGGTGGTCTGAGCAGGGCTGTGACCAAGGGAACAGGCTGACTGTCTTACCCCACCTCACTCTGCAGTCTCTCTGAGGGGTTCACCTCTTCACACCATGTGCCCTGACCACCCACTATTGAGTGGGGCCATCATGGCCTGGTGTAAAGTGCTGCCCAAGAGAGTCCACAAGCTGATGGGGTGGACCAAGAAGAGGGCATTAGGTCCTTTAGTAGTTTGCTTTGGGCTTTGGAATGGGTCAGGCAGGTGCTCAGCAGGGGACAACTTATAGGACGTCTGTGATGGCCTGTGCAGCTGCTGATGCTCTTCCCTATTGCCCCAGGACCTCCGGGAAAAGAACTGGAAGGCTATGGAGGCTTTGGCTATGTCTGAGAGGACCTGCGAGGAGAAGCTGCACTCCCTGGCGCAGGCCAAGGTCAGCCCTTTTGGCCGCTTCTCAGATATACCTGCTTGTACATCCCAGAGCAATCCACCTAGGTCCCCACGGGGTCTGGCACACAGGGCAACCTCTGGGCTCCTGCCTTCCCTCCTCTCCCTTCTTTATTTCTTCTTCTTTCCCTCCTTCCCTCTCACTCCTTTCCTTCCACTTTTCCTTGAGATGAAAAAGGGTGTACCCTGGATTGCTCTTGCTCCTCTGGTCTCTACCACCAGGCACTTGGTGCCTGGCACTTGGCATCTAGGGAGAGGGACCATAGGAGCTGTGGACCCACCTGCTGCCTGGCCTTTCGAATGAGCCCAAGATCGGGCTGTTTTCATCACTTTGCTCCCATGGTATCTGAATGGTCTTGTTTCTTAGACCCTCTGGAATCATGCAGGCTTGGTCCAGTGGGTCCTATGATTAATCTTTAAAATAAGTCACAGAAGGGGAAGAAATTTTTCATAGTAAGCTCTCAGGAGTCAGTTCCACATTGGCCTGAGGTATAAGGGTATCTCTGTCCCTGGACCCACACTAAGGGCCAGTGGGTAGGCTCAGGTGGGGAAACAGTCTTCAGAGTCCTCTGGAAGGTGCTGCTCTAGCCTCCCAAGCTAAGCAGCAGTGGCTTGAAGACCCAAGCAGGTGGCCAGCTGAGTCATGCTGGAGCTCCTGGCCCTGGGGTCCTCACCCACTGGTCTTTTGACTGCATGTCTCCATCCCTTGTGGAATGCCCCTGGACAGCCAGCCCCATCCCTTCAGCCTTGCTCTCATGGAATATCTGTGTCCCCAAGTCTTGAGCCTCATAGTGACCTTCCCAGGAAGCAGGAGGGTTTCATGAGATGAGGATCCTGAAATGGTACAAGGATGGAGGGTTGGCTTCAGGTGAGAGCTGCTAGAACCTTGGGCATTGAGCCCTAGGAGTGACCTCCGGGATGTTGTGGACTTTATGTGGCACATGCAGAAGTTGTGATTAGAGAGGCTCCCTGTCTCACTTACAGACATGCAGCTGTGCAATGGCTGGCCTTGGTGTCTTCTGGCTCTTGCCTTTGACCGTCATGAAGTCAGGGATCCCCGGCTACTGTCTGGATGATGAAGCGTGCTAGGGCACTTTGCAGATGGGAGTTCAGAACATGTGGGTGCAGTGGCCATGCTGGGTGTTGTCTGTCAGCAGTTCTCCATAGCACACAGCCCATAATACCCTGTCAACCCCAACAGTTAGAGTTCCTAGTCTCAGCTCACAGGCATGGTGTGTCATGGCATGGTTGGCAGCAGCTTCAGTCTCCTGAAGATAAAATCTATAGCTGGAATCCTCAGTGGCCTCCTCACAGGGTGGAGGTTCTGCCTGTCCTAAAGGCCATTTAAGCTCTTGGTTTTGCTGTATAGCTCAGCCAGTCAGTCTTTGCTCCAATTTGCAACAGATTGGAGCTGCCAACCCTTCCTCTAGGGCAACTGCTGGGCTGTAGTGCCAAGGGTGACCCCTTATGCCCCAAAAAATAAAGTCCCTGAGCCTCACTGAGTTGGTTTGCCATCTGCAAAGTGGAAATGTTGACCCTTCCTCTACAGGGTCACTGGAAAGAGACCTCTTAAGGCTCATGGCTACTGTCAGACGTGTCCCTTCTCTACCTTTACAGCAATCCCTACAACTTAACTCTTACTTTCCAGTATTTGGAAACAATGATTGCCCCCCACTTCTTTCCCATCCCATTCCCTCTTGCACAGTCTTGGATCATCTCCCCACCCCTCTTTTACACACACACTTGGAAATGAGCAAGAATTGAATTTGAGCAGCTGAGCAGGTAGAGGCATCACTATTATTGGGGGCTGCCGAGTTACCTCCATTGAAGTTTGGTCTGTTGAGAGGTGCCTGGCACACGCTAGTGTTAAACATCCCCAGCCTGCTCTGTCTGTGAGCCTCTGTCTTCTCTCTTGGTTCCTGTCTCCCTGGAAACACTGAGCATGTACCCTTCCTGGGAAGGATACACGGGTATATAAGTAAACATCCCTGTGGGTGTCCTTGCCCTGCTCCCCAGTTCCCCCATGCTGCACCAAGCACCCCCTTCCCTCTGCAGGAGGAGTTGGAACAGCAGCTCCACTTGACTGAGGTGCAGACCAGAGAGGCTGTGCAATCCCTCCTCCCAGAGCTTGCAGCCACATCACACCAGGTAGGAGAGGACTCCACCAACCACAGTGACCCCAGACCTTCACAAGAAATGCCACTAGACCCTCCCTCACTCCTTCCATTGCAGAATTACACCGAGTGGCTGCAGGAACTCCGAGAAAAAGGCTCCGAGCTGCAGAAGCAGCCTCTGGCTTCCACAGAACCTTCCCCGGTGAGCAGGGAGGGTGCCCAGAGTCACCCCACCACAGCCAGGGGCAAAACTGGTTGAGCTAACCAGATCCTGCACTTCCCTCTGCCCAGGACCTGGCCTCCAGGCTGCAGGAGGCAGAGGATACCCAGAGCGCCTTGCAGGCAGAGTGTGACCAGTACCGCACCATCCTGGCAGAGACGGTGAGCAGGGATGGCTTGAAGCTGCAGGGAGGGGATGTTCAGGACCCAGCAGGCAGCAGAGGGCAGTGACTCCGGTAACCTTGGGCAAGTCTCCCCACTCTTTGGGCCTCATTTCTTTAACTGAGTGGTAAAGGGGTGGATCAAGGATTTCGTGGCATCCATGGTTACTAAGCATTGTTGAATTAAAGGTTTGGGGTGGTCTCTGGGCAGGAGAGAGAGACATGGTTGTAGCAAGGAGTTAGTCACTCTTAGGAGGAAGTTGTGAGTATCTTGCTGACTGCTGGACAGAGCCCCTGTCCTGTGGGGCCCCAAGACAGAGCAAGACCAGCCCTCTCAACCTGTCCCCCCGTCATGCCCATCTTATCCTGGGGGCAAAGCCTGGTGGGTATGAGAATCCTGGTGGCTTTGTTCAGGTCACATGTCCATGTGCTGGCACACAGGCCACAGCACCCATTCCCCAGGACTGTGGCCAACTTTGATCCCACATAACTGGCAGCTGTGAAGTTACCACAGAGGAGGTAGTGAGGTGGGGACAGAAGATGTGTGTGATTGAGTGGACTGGGGGTGGGGAGGGAGCAGGCCAGCACCTCCCAGGCACTGGCCAGTCCCTCTCTGGGTATGTGCTTCATGCCCTGTCCCTCTGCAGGAGGGCATGCTTAAAGACCTACAGAGGAGTGTCGAAGAGGAGGAGCAAGTGTGGAAAGCCAAAGTGAGCACAGCAGAGGAGGAGCTGCAAAAGGTACTCACAGTTCTGGTTCTCAGTACCCAGAGACCTCTCCCTCTTTTACACACACTCACACACGCCACCTCAACCTGGGGCAAGGATCCAGCAACACGTGCATCGTGCTGGCACAGAGGAGGCATGTCTTCCACCCCTTTCCTAAGAGTTCAGATGTAACTCACTAAAGACAAACAACTGGGTTTGCATGCCCCGAAATCCAGGTGAAGCTGACCACCTGGGTCACTTGTAAGGGGTAGGGGCTGGTTGGGAGTTTTTTGGTGATCCATATGAATCACCATATGCATGGCTGCAGGGAGACAGCTGAGCTCCTTAGCCTGGCCCTAGTCTCATGCTGGCCCCCTTGCCCACACCCAGTGAGCGGCTATGAAGCTGGGGCAGCCAGCCAGGTACAAGGTGAGCATGGCTGGGCGAGAGGGAGACCAGCTTTCCCGCTACTTGCCTGAGTCCCCAAGCCCCAGAGCAGGCTATGTGAGGAAACACTGTGGCCCTCTTAGGTCTGTATTTTCATGGCCCTCCCTTGTTTCCAGTCTCATGTCACAGTGAAGCACCTTGAAGAGATCATAGAGCGGCTAAGAGGAGAGCTGGAGAGTTCTAACCAGGTGTGTGCAGGGCTTTCCTCAGCTGCTTTCTGTCTCTCAAGCCCCTGAAACATGCCTCATTCCAGAGCCTGTTTGAATTATTTCTTCTCACAGGCCTCTTAAGAGAGGCTATTCTCCACCAAGCCCGGTGACCCTGTCAGGCCTATTTCTCCTCAGTGAGAGGCATTTACCACTTCATTGTGGCCTGAGACACATCCAGGGCCTGCACAGAATCACCTGGGCCTGGCCAGCCAGGATAGGCCCTACCCCAGCACGCAGTGGCCTCTGTCTATGGCTGTCTGAGCTTGGAAGGTACTCAAATCCCACCCTGGGGTTTTCTCAGACTGTGAAGTCAGCTTTGACCTTGGACAAGGAGGCCCTTGGAGGCTGTTTTGCAAGTAAATCTGAGAGGACTCTTTCATCCTCTCCCCCACCCCAACCCTGCCCAGGTCTGAGGACATAGCAGCTCAGGCAGTGCTCAAGTTTTGGGCATCATTTGCATTTAGGTGTCTCCTGCCATGGCTGCTTTCTGATTAGCCTCAGTTTCCCCAGTAGCCAATGGGACTCCTCCCAGGGCTTGCTTATTACCCCAAGGCCAGGCTAGACTTGCCACCCCATCACCTGTTCCCCAGGGTTAGTGCCCTCCTGCCAGAGACATAGAAGGTTGTGATGTGTGTGTCCATGGGGGCGTGGGTTTACGGGTATCTCCCCAGGTGCGGGAGCACACCTCACATTTGGAGATGGAACTGGAGAAGCACATGGCGGCAGCCAGCGCTGAATGCCAGAGCTACTCTAAGGAGGTAGCAGGGGTGAGTTGCATCCACCCAGGCCTCACAGGCCATTCAGCATCCCAGCCCAGTGAGCCTTGGCCTGGGGCTGTCAGACGGAGAAGCTGTGTATTGGTGCTCACCTCAAAGAGGCAGCTTCGTACTGAGTGAGACACTCCATAGCCTGGCACTCTCCTGGGTCAATGACACCACTTCTGGAGGGTACAGGTTTAAATCAGTAATGCTTTTCTTACTGCTTAGAAACAGAAAGTATAAATTTGAAGTCTCCGATGTTGGTTTAATTTCAGACTTGTAGATTTTTTTTTTTGCAAGAGACAATCATTAAACGAATATGAAGACCTGTGATGAGATGCAGTGAATACTGCTCCCTCGGGGTCTTGATAAAGACCTGCAGACATAGGAGCCTGGTCTCTGCAGTAGTTTCCAGGATCTTGATGAAGTGAATGCACTGGACAGTGTGCGTAGAGGCTGACTCCCAGTAACTGGCTTCCTCTTGTTCTTTACCTTTTCCACGTCACCTGGGTCTGTTTTCTCCCCAAGCTGAGGCAACTTTTACTAGAATCTCAATCTCAGCTGGACGCAGCCAAGAGTGAAGCCCAGAAGCAAAGTGATGAGCTTGCCCTGGTAAGTGTACTTGGTGTCCCCTGGAGGGGCAGGTAGAGTTTGTAGGATTATACGTGTCTACACATGTGCATGTGCGTGTGTGCATGTGCATTTGTGTAGTTAATTTACCAGGTGAGGTGGGTCATCAGAGTGGGCACATGTGTGTCCATGTGAAGTCTACAAGGGTTCCTTGCATGTTTGCCAGGCACTCTGAACTGGTCTTGTCACCTCCAGAACACAGATGGTCACACTTGATTCCCCATCCTCCTACGTTGTGGCCCTCACTCAAGCAGTGTGAGCTCAGGGCTGGGAGGCTGAGGACGTGTACTTCCTGTGAGCAAGGGTGTCCTTCAGGGAAGCCTGGGACTTTTCACCTTGTGGCTCTGAGCAAGCCCCTTGCCCTCCTGGGACTTAGGTTTTTCTCACCAGAGCTACAGGACAGCCCAATGCCAGTGATGCCTGGGTGTGTGCAGGGCCTTCCCTCAACAATCCTGTCCCACCCGGAGGAGCTTCCTGCTGCATCGACAGTCTTTGAGCCTTGACATCTGACCCCAGGTCCCAGCTCCTTGGAGAGTACAGCCCCAGCCTCATAGCAAGCAGAGAGGAGGCAGTAGGGCCTCACCTACCCCAGTACTGGCCCAGGGTGGGGCTGCAGAGCACAGACCTGTTCTCTTTGCTTTACACAGGCCTTTAAAAATCCTCAGTTTTTTGCCATATATTTAGAAATTGAGAAATTTTGGGTAAAAGTATGTATCTCGTGGTTTTGTGGAAGAACCCACAGGACCATACTCCCCTAGGACTGCTGCATTCACACCCCTACCTGCGTCAGGGGATTCAGTCCAGACTGAGGACCACCTACCAGAGCTGCTTTCTATACTGGGTCTGGGTGAAAAGCCTGGGTGGGGATGCTAGACCCTGCCCTAGTGAACCTGCATGGTAGTGAGGACAGGGATGTTAGTCACAGTGACCAAGCCAGGCTCCTTGGAGCCTCCTGTGTGGGCAGCAGCAGCCGTCCCAAGCAGGGTCCTGTGCAGCGAGGTGGGTAGGCATCACCAGCCATGTCTTTGCACCAACCTACCCTCCCTGTTTCAGGTCAGGCAGCAGTTGAGTGAGATGAAGAGCCATGTAGAGGATGGTGAAGTAGCGAGGTCCTTGGCTGCCCCCTCAGAAGGCCCCCCAGCTGAGCAGGACCCTGTCGAGGTTAGGGCGGTGAGCGGTCCCAGAAATTTATCACTAACCACCCGTGGGGCTTCCCCCATGGGAACACAGGGCCTCTCCTTCTCACTAATCATGGTGTCTCTGCCCTTCTTTGTCATGTCCCCCACTGCCACCACCAGTGCCCAGCTTTGCTTGACTGCACAGAGGGGGCTAACTTAGGTCTGAGAACTCCACTGAGCAAGGGGTGGGGGGTGGCCAGCAGTGGCAGAGAGGCAGGATGGGGCTGGGGCTCAGCCTGTGGGCAGGTATGGTGGCCTTTGTTCCAGGGACACTGCTTGGGGGTGGGACCTTCAGCCACAAAAGAGACTCACTCCCATTGCAGCCCTTGGTGGTTAACATTACTAGGGAGATGTTTGCTGCCCCCAAGGGCTTTCACCCTAGGCAGGGACTGTCACCAACTAATGGAGGCATGGCTACATGTGGGGCTATTGGGGGGCAGGGCCTGCTTGGGGCCTTTGAGGTCTTTGCCATGTGGGTGTAAAGGTGCGTGAGGTCAGCATCTCTTTCAGGCTGAGGTCCCATCTCCCCAGAGGGTGAGTGTTGGAGCACTCAGTGGGCTGCTGTGGGCAGACAGACAATCTAGCTGGCCAACCAGGAACAGACAAGCAGAAAGAGCTCTAGACACAGCTAGAAGGCCAGGGGTGGGGGGCAGGTTTCGGCCCACCTGGGAGCCCTGACCTTCAAGCAATTTCCCAAAGTCTGTCTGTGCTGGTTCTGTGCAGCTGAAAATGCAGCTGGAGCGGACAGAAGCCATCCTGGAGGGCGAGCAGACGCAACGGCAGAAGCTCACAGCTGAATTTGAGGAGGTCAGGCCCTGTGCAGCAGCTCTGAGCTCCCTCTGCTTGTCCGTTCCTACCCTTGCTTTCCCTGCCCGCTAGCTACTGGGGCACTGTGGGGCTTTGGGCACACCAGAGACCCAAGGGATGGGCAAGTGCAGTGACAAGCGACAGTCACAAGTCACCTGGGACAGTGTGTGACGGAGGGTATGGTTGGAGGACAGCCACTGTGCCCTGGGGGCAGTTCCAAGTCCTTAGGCTTGTCTTCCTGGTACACATGGGATCTGTTTCATGTTCCCAGCTACAGGTTAGAGCTGGCATGCCCTCCCTTTTCGGCAGGGCTGAGGTGGGGAGGGGTTTGTTTGTGGGTTGTCAGGTGTCCCGCCCCAGGCACCACTCCCCTCACCCTTTGTCTCTCTGACAAGGCTCAGAATGCTGCATGCCAGTTACAAGAAGAGTTGGAGAAACTCCGCACTGCCAGTCATTTGGAGTCTTCAGATGCGCAGGAGGCTGTGCAACTTAAGGTGGGGTGGGGCAGGGGAGAACTGACCAGAGGGGAGTGGGGAGGAGCTAGTCTTGAGACTAGGTCTCAAGCCCTTTGGTGGAGTGGTGGAGTGGTGGGGGAAGCCTGAATCTACAGGGTCAAACATAGCCACCCGCCACTAGGCAAATACGGTGATTTAAATTAAAACTTAAAAGTTTTCTCCAGTCACACTCACCACATTTCAAGTGCTCAGTAGCCACATGTCCAGTGGCTCCCACATTGGATAGCACAGGTTAGGACAGTCCATCCTCACAGAGAATATTCTGTGGACAGGCTGGTAGATGACCAAGAGACATCAAGTCTTCCTCCTACTACCTTCCCGTCCTCTGGTTCATGGGCATCGCCAGAGTGGCTACTGCTGAATCTTGAGTTACAGTTAGGCTGATCCCCTCCAATCCACACACCACAGGTAAGACTAGACAAAGAGAAAAAGCTCACAAGTGACCTGGCACGTGCTGCCACTAAGCTGCAGGAGCTTCTGAAGACTACCCAGGAGCAGCTGGCCCAGGAAAAAGACACAGTGAAAAAGCTGCAGGAACAGCTGGACAAAGCAGTGAGTGCCACCCCACCAGGGCTGCCACCTAAGGGCCCTGCCCATGCAGCATGGGGCTAGGTCAGCTGCTGGGAGGCGGCTGCGGCTCTGCCTACCTCTGGTGCGTGTGGTGCCAAGTGAAAGAACAAGGACGGGCTGGAGGGCATCATGTCCTGCTGAGATATCCACATCCCATGCCCCCACCCCGTGGCTCCTCCTCTCTTGGTAGGAAGCAAGCCTCTGCCCCCTGCCCCCTACTCCCAGCCTCTCTTTCCAGCTTTCCTGGGCCTCTGCCAGTGCCCCTACCCCGACCTAGCTCCCATGGCCTGCAGGACTGAAAGTTCCCACTCAGGCTCAAAGCCCTCCCCTGCCCTGCATCCTCAGTTCCCCCACTAAACACTCCTCCCAAGGATCTCCACCCTCTGGAGTCAGCTCTGGTTCCATAGCCATCCTGTGCTGAGCTCCGTGAAGAGACGAATGGTTTAGGGGTATTAATCTACAGTGAAGGGGAAATGTGGTTAGAGCCGCCCAGTGTACAGGGTGAGCAGTGTGCAGGGTCACCAGCCAGGGCTTGGGGTGAGTGGCTGTCATTTGTTCCTTGTCCCAGCTTTTGCCTCACTCTGCCCTCTTCTGTCCACAGGGGGATAGCAGCAGCTCAAAGGAGGGCACTTCCGTCTGAGTCTCCTCTGGAAAAGTTACTGTTTAACTTACCAAAATGCCTTACACATTCCTTACAAAGAAATAAACCAACCAACACAGCGTTATCCAGGCCCAATTTCCGGTAACTCCGAGAGGAGCTATTCGAGGCAAGAGTCTCTTAGAACCACAGAAATAAATCTTCCAGAGCCCAGTTTATAAAAGAACCTTTATAATATTTGATAAACACTATTCCCGGACCAGCCCTGGACCACCGCCGAGCAGATGCCAAAGCCCATAATCCACCTCTTTGAACAGAACCCACGGTGTGCTGGGGAGGCCAGGCTGGGCTGTCTTATGTGTCAATCAGTGCAATGTTATATCTTTTTTCAGTGGAGGTAGGGGAGAAGCAGGGACTCAGAAGTTGTGGCGAAGACTGGAGGGGCCCGGCCCAGCCAGCCTTCCTCACCCCTGCAAGAAGTTGCCAACCAGAACTGATGTGTGACCTCCTGGATGTTAATGCCATTAAAGCCCACATTGTTGCCAGTGCTACAGTCTTGTCTGTGTGGTGCAGGGCTTCCCCACCAGGCTGTTGGGTCTAGGATGAGGAACAAGGGTTGGATCCCTCACAGGAAAGAGCAAATATGGGTCAGTTTTGGGGAAGCCCAGGGATCAGCAGCGCTAGACTTGCTGCTTCCTGGCCCCCTAGGGCTGCTCCCCACTGGCCCACCCGAGTCCCTGGGCCCTCTGCTTGTCTTCTGCCTCCTCTGCAGAAGGGAGCAGTCTGGAACACCTGGGGACCAAAGTGCTCTGCCTACAGTCCTGTTCTTGAGGAAATGGGGGTGCTGTGAGCAGGACTGTGGCTGACCTGAGCCAGGGTGGGACGTAAGCTCTGAGGATGAATTTAGGGTGTCTGCCTTGGCCAGACTTGGCCGAACATCCATGCCTCAGGAGGGGCAGCCCAGGGCCAAAGCAAAATCAGCCCAGTTGGAAGCAAGGTTTCTCACAGACCCAAAGTGTGCTAGGTGACCCTAGGCAGCCTGGTCCAGGAGAACCTGGGGCCAAGAGGTATGTCAGATGAAAGTCTGCATGTCAACAACAGAAGTCTGGAGCTTAGCTTAGCAGAAAGATTTGGAGGCAGGCATCTGGCAGTTCTGAGTCATGGGAGGCTTGAGCAAATCCAGGAATGGGCAGTGGGATAGGGCAGCTCCAGGGGTCCTGATGGCAAGAAAGACCAGTCTTTGTAAGGAGCTAACATCAGAATATGTCAGCCCCAGCCAATTGCTATTAACTCTTACCTTCCCAAGACTATGTCTTGAGAAGACATGAGCTTGGTCAGAAGAAAGTAGGGCACTTGGATGGCAGGTCTAGAAAGATGGCATGTAGAACAGAGGGTGGTAGCCTCAGGGGGAGGCAGCTGGAGAACTGCGGTCTCCACTACCAGAAAGTCTCCTCCCCAATGACTGCAGAACTGAAAGCTCAGTAGATGCCCTCTGAAGGCACAGGGAAAAGGGGAAACTAGGGGAGAGGCAGTTGTGAGCAGAGGAAAGAGACTTCAGAAAAGATAAGGGAAAAAGACCCTGGGGGTGCCAAACTGCTGCTTTTGGGTTCTGGACAGCTGGCTTGCTGCTGGGCCCTGGCTACAACCCTACTTCCTCCAGACCACCTGGTGGGAGTTTATGTCCACCCGTGGGAAAGGAAGAGAGATCAAGTCAGGCAGTGTGGCATCCCCCATCAGGGGCTGGATGGGAGGGTCAGGAAATCTACTTTGGGGCACCTTCTGTGGAGCTCTATATTTAAGGCCCATCTGTCTCCTCTGCACCCCCCCACCCACCATGGAGTCAGCAATGCTAAGGTCCAGCTGTGACCTCTTCTTCCAGGCAGCAGGGGGAGCCTGGGCTTACAGGCAGGGCTTCACTTCATCGGACCTGGGCACATATGGCTGTAGGAGAAGACTTAAGACAGAATCTAAGGCAGAGGCTTTGAGCAGATTCTACCAGAAGAGGCTGACACCCCCCTTGTTTTTCCTCAAAATGTAGACACCTCGGGAATGTGTCTCAGAGCTGGCCATTCATGCCTCCCTGTCCTGCAAGAGCCCCTGTGCGCTGACGAATTGGCATTTGCAGTTGCCTGGAATGAAGTTCAGTGTGGAGACAGGAATCACCTCAGGCTGGACTAGAACACCTGTCACTTAGACACAGGCTACTGTGCCACAGATTAAGACTCCACCAGTCCTAAAGCAGAGGAAGCTGCTTGCGTTTCGGTAGCACTAGAGGGAGGAGTCTGGGAAAGGGAGCTGGACAGGGAAGACGGGAAGGGCAGAGAAACAGCAAAGCTTCAGGATGAGAAAGAAGTTCAGAAAATGTCCACAAATGCCTTCTCAAGTTTCCTTCAGGTTCCATGTCTAAAGGGAGTTCAGAGCCCAAAAGAATACTTTTCTCCTGCCTGCCCCAAAGTTCAAATTTCTCCCCTGGCACAGAAAAAGATCTAATCTTAGAATTACAGATACTAGAAATGAACTCCAAAGGTACTGTGGGTATAGCTTGGAACGAGAAACGGAGATCTGAGTTTCTGCCCCAGTGAGTGTGACCTTAGGCAATTACTTGTCATCTCCAGGCTGGACACTGATGGGCCTGGCCAGGGGCTTTGTCAGGTTCTCCCAGCTGCCCTGTGATTCCAGCCACACAGCTGTATGCCTTAGACTTTTCAGAGAGCCCCTGGTCATGCCTCATATACAATTCCAGCTACTCTAGATCTGGCTTCCTTCCACTGAAAAGAAAACCCTAAATCCTGGAACCGCACACCCCGAGAGAGAGAGCAGCCTCCATCTGCAGCCAGCTGCAACCCTGTTTGGAACCTGTTAGCATACATTAGAAAGTGGTGTGTCCTTCAGAATATCCAGTCTCTGATGGCTCAAAGGGCAATGAGCTGGTCACTCAGGCTGCATCTGGACCAGCCAGCACTCCGGGCAGTCCACAGAGAGGAAACCACTTGACTAAGCCTAATTCTAGTACTGCACCGCTCTGCTGTTTTCTCAAATTAGTATTTTCTGGAATAACGGCCTACCACAGTCAACTTCTGGCTGGATTTCTGCTTTGTTGCTGTCAGGTGCCACTGGGTCAGTTTTTGAATCAGTGACCCCATGTGACAAGGGAGATCTGCCCCATATCATTTTCTAGGCTGTAATCTTTACAGCAGCAGATCACCAAGACACTCTCCTGTGGAGCTACTAGGTGGGTTGGACTACCAACCCTTTGGTTAGCAGCTAAGCACTTAAACTTTGTGCCACCAGCGTGGCTTTATTTGCTTCTTTCTCAGACAAAAAAATCATCAGTAGATGAACCCCAAGTCACCTTTCCACACATAACTTTTTGTAATGGGTTAACACTTGTGAAAACGTGCACATTTTCTGGCAACAGTATACATGCAGTTTTATTCCTGAGCAATGTCAGCCTAGGTCTTACATCCTGATTTTATACCAAAATCACCAGGAGGGCTTGTTTAAAAAGATTCTTGAGCCCCAACTTGAGGAATCCAGAAAGACTTTTTCTCAAAAGCATCTCTAAATGGTGATACAAACAACTGTTCACATCTTTCCAGTTTCTGGAGAAAGAGTGGGGTGCTAGGAGGCTTTCACACTATCCCTGTAGATGGTGTGAAATCTTCCCCATAGTAAGTACACTGCACACGTGCACACCTGCGTGCCCACACTACAACACTGAGTGGTGGCTCCAGGCGTGCTATACTGTACTAGCCAAAACCACAGAAGACCCTGTTTTTAAAACTCCTTAATCAACTGCCTGTCTGTTCAGTGGATTACTAAGTAGGGCAGCCCTGAGCCCACAATGCTGCTTTGGAGGCTGACTGCTTAATACACACTATCACTACAAGCACTGCTTTGCTGTGGAGAAGACGAGAAATTAAAGATGAAAGATAGATAAGCAGCTTATTGATAAACCAGTAGCCAACACTATTTTCTAGAGAGTTTTGAAAGAGGTTTTGACTAAAGCATGAAAGTTTTGTCTCCTAAATAAATCAAAGAGAAAACCCTGGCATTTGGATAAATACTTGGAATAAGAAAAAATTTAACTTTCTCATCCAGTCAGAGGACCACCACCTGTGGCCTTAACCCAGAAATAACCCAAAACCTTGATGACTTCCTCCCGTCTGATAGGGAAAATCCTTTTTCACAAATTCACATCTGAATAATTACACAAGAGAGAAGTTAAAAATGCTTCCTTTATTACATAAAGCCAATACTGCTACTTCTAAGTTCAACTATTTGTGCATCTCTGTGATGTTAAGACAATCACATCCAAGCCATCAAGAGCTGCTTCCCAGGAGTGTCATCATCCATCACACATGCTCCCATTTCACACAGTCAACTGCTCCAGGAAATGAAGTTCTCCCAGACCCCAAAGCAAACATCTACTCAATGTTCTTCCACCCCTTATTGTACCAGAAGCAGCAAAATTCCAAAGGAGACACATTAAAGGTATCATAGGTGTCCTAAGCTTGTTAGTCTATTGTTTTATCATTTTCATTAACAAAGTATATTACAATGGAGCCCTATTTTGCATTATAAGTGAACTAATCAATATAAGATATTGCACATTCTCCTGAGGACACACCATGATTTCCAGGATGCAAGGTCAATCCACTAGAACAGAGTCCCAATTAGTGAGTAGTAGAGAGCTCACCATGGTGCAGGGAGCTGCTTTCTGTATTCCCACTAAGTGCTGGAAATAGTGCTTTGCAAGATCAGCATTGGTTATAAGTGTACAAAATTTTGAGGCAGTCTCCATTACACATCTGATAGAATTAAATACTACCTGACTTAATCTTAATGTAGTTAGTGTATTAGTGTTGTTATATGCTGTGAGGAGAATTATTTTCCATGATTCAGTTTAACTCAATGAAGACTAATGAATTTGGGCCAAAATTATTAACCAAATTATGACCAATTCTCTAAGCAAAAGAGACAAAATAGCTGCTGAGGTTAACAAAGATGTACTGATTCTCTTCATATGGCCTTGTACTGTTTTGTGAATTACATCATTAAAAATTCTGAGCTTAACAATAATCTTTGCATATCAACTAATCAACAGGCATTTGGCCAATAATTTAATTTCACACCAATGAAACTTTAGACTTTAGGTTTATTTCGGGCCACTGCACATGTTTAGAGACTATTTCATTTACTCTAGAAGATGGTAAGACAGCTCCCCCACAGTGAGATCCTGGCCTAAATATATTTGCTTTACTTATATAGAAAGAGAGTAACTTTAAACACGGAAGCTTTCGGTCTGTGGCACTGAATGATGAGCTACACAGGGCATCCTTCAAAAGCTACAATTAAGGAGCCACCTAGCTTCTCAGCAATACAAGCCCGATTGAGGTCTTCTGGCCCATTTGCTTGACATTCATGTTTTATGCCTAGGGAGGAAAAACAGCTCAATTTAGAATTATGGCAACAACTTACCAATTACTCTGACATACCAAACTATTTTGAAAAATCAGTTCTAATATGGATAAACTGTGGCATATATGAACATTCTGTAATGACATACATCAAAATGGATGTAAGCCTGAAAGAAGCTAGACCAGCCAAAGCTAACTTATGCTGTAAGAAGCCAGGATAATGGTTCATCTTAAGGCAGAGTGGAGGCAGTGTTCTGGAATTGCTGATCATTAGAGCAAGAAACAGCTATTATGCTCAGTTTGTGAAAATTCATCAAGCTCTTGTATAATTTATGATATACTACGGGTTTGGTTCCAGGCCACTGCAATAAAGCCAATATCGCAATACAGTGAATTACACAACTTTTTTGGTTTCTCAGTGCATATAAAAGTTATGTTTACACTATACTGTAGTCTATTATGTATGCACTAGTATTATGAAAAAGTTTGAAATATTTTGAGAATTACCAAAATGTAACACAGAGACATAAAGTGAGCACATGCTGTTGGAAAAAATGGCTGCAACAGACTTGCTTGCCGCAGGGTTGCCACAAACCTTCAATTTGTAAAACAAAATGCAGTATCTGCAAAGCACAACAAAATGAGATATGCCTGTACACACAGACGTACATATGACTTCAGTAAAAAGATGAAAAGTCAAGTCTGGTAATTTTTCTTCATCTTTGTTTTAAAGATAAATAAAAATATGACTTAGATGTTTTGATTACACAGCTGACTGAGTCAACTATTAAGAATATTTACAAATGGCATCACTTGTGCTATACAAAACAGCTCACTTGCTTCAGTGGAATTACAATATACATTTAAGAAATGTATCACAATGAAAACTATATAAAATGTGTTACTGATTGCTTTTTAAGAAAAAATACATCACCACACAGCAAAAGGAACTCAATTATGAAAGTGTACACAGCAGCTTCTCTGTGAACAGCTGCTGGCTCTCAAACAGCTGCATTGTTTGCAATTACCCATAATTTTAAGACCATTTCTCAAGCTACTGAAAGCATAACAGGTCACCTTTTGGCTAAGTTAGGACTGATTTGAGATGATAAAAAACAAAATGTCATTTCATATCACCAAATTAAGTCTATATAGCAATTTCCTTTGCTGCAAGATAATGCAGACTATGGATAATGATAAATCCAGTCTGAATCTTTTTCATCTGCATTTTAGAAGCATTCAAGCTAACCAGTCACTTTAAATGTCAATTAACAGACTGGTAAGCATGCTCCTGGGGGATGCTCTAGCACCAAGCCAAATACACAGCATGACAAGGCAGGGCTTAGGAAGGGAAACAAGAATTGTTTTCCTGACTGAGTGAAACAAGTTAGAGCAAACCTGTTACAGGACAAACAAGGATACAGAAGTCAGTTTGAGTAAAACAAAACAAAAGCCACATATGGGCCAAGCCCTTGTGACAGTGGCTTACTCAGCTGTTTGGAGACAGCCAGTGGGAGGAAGGTGATGGGGACCTTGTTAGACTAAGCTCACACACAATCCATGCCAGGCCTCTCATTCTAGATTGAGAGAATCAAGGCCCACGGAGATTAAGTGCCTTGCTACAGTCACACAGCAGTTAGATGGTAAGCTTGTCCCTCAATGCAGGTCTTTAGGCACCTGCCCCATGCTGTTTCCATCATACCCACATTTCCTCCTGGCTGGAGATGACAAGTATGGCCAGACTACCTCCATCAGGACCCCAATCACCCAGTGAAATATAACTAGCCAACTCAAGGACTGAGGGCACCTTTGTCTGAACACAGATGAGCCAATTACCTAAAATCATAATACAAGTGACAAGTGTAAGTAAATTATCCTTTCCCATTTACAAACATTTCCTTTTTGCAATTTTGTATCAACTACATTCAAAGGAAACAGCAAATGTATTATTACATTACAACCAATGCAAACCAATTAGTCTCCACCTACTATGTGAAAAACTTGGTGACATATCAAACTAGTTGAAATCAGCCTGAATAGGTGATATAAACACAGCATCCAGGACAAAGGATTACTAAATACAGGCAGTTCAAATTCAAAAGTGACCAGTACAGGGCAGAAAACATACTAAAATTGTCTGTTTTCTTTCTCAAAAGAGGGAGTGCTTCCCTTCTTTGTGCCCAAGTCTCCTCCAAGAAGACAATGTGCTTCTTAAAAAAGCCGTAGCCCCCATTCCAGTAACCTCCCCACACCTCTAAATACCTTGAAATTTCTTTTTGATTGCATCCTTGGAGCTTGCGTAAATCATTTTACTTTTCAGAGGTGCTAGTTCTGGTGCCCTGCATAGATAGATGCAAAAATGGAAAAACTGGTTTAAACAGAGTACAATTTAAATGTAGTTAAACTACATAAGTAAGAAAGACACAGGAAAGGGGTAACCATGGGGAGGAGTTAGGAAGAGAGCTGTTTGTTACATTGTGGGGACTGTAATCAATGTCACAAAACATGTACGAACTGTTCAATGTAAAATTAATCTGAAGCTGCATTATAGACAACACCCAAATCACAATCAAAAGTTTAAAAAAAAAAAAACTACATAAATTAAGGATAAAATACCTCAAAATAAAAAATTGTTAATTTAATGCAGTTTAATGTAATTAAAATAAAATTTTGAGTTTAATGATGGGGTTTAATAATAGGCAGATATATTTTAGTTTTTACAAGTTGCCTTGGTCCTTTTGATTTTGAGCATGATGAAGCACCATTTAAATCATCATTGTCACTATTTTTCCTTTTAAACAACAAACAATAAACTCTTTTGATCCTTAAAAGAAATAATAAATGTGGTTAAGCATCTGCATCAATAATGGGAGGGCCTACAAAACCCCCAGGAGGCACTTTGTACTGCTCTAACTAGTCAGTTTTCCATTTCCCCACCTTCTTAGAGTCTTTGGATGGCACAAATGGTTTGTACCAGATTATAACAGAAAGGTTGGCTGTTCAAACCCATCTACTGGTGCCACAAAAGAAAGGCCTGGTGATCTTTGCTAGAAGAATTATAGCCAAGAAAACCCTATCGACCATTTCTACTCTATAAAACATAGGGTTGCCAGTGGGTCACAATCAACTCAATGGCAATCAATTGGTTTCATTTTGGTTTGAGACATCTATCTGTTAATGGACGGCATATGTAGTCTCTCTCAGGTTGACTAGGGTGACAAAAAAGCTGGAGAACCACTGGTTGAAAAGAAGTTGAGACTCAATGATTAAGAATCAGATTCACCTAAAGAGGTGAGAGACAAGACACAGACAGACATGTGCACATCCATGTTCATCGTAACACAATTCACTATAGCAAAGAGATGGAAACAACCTAAATGCTATCAACAAATGAATGGATAACCAAATTATGGTACATTCACACAATGAAATACTGTGCTACATTAAAGAACAATGAAGAATACACACAACGTGGATGAATGTGGAGGACATTATGCTGAGTGAAATACATCAATTGCAGAAGGACAAACATCATATAAACCCATTACTGTAAAAAGTCAAGGAAGGGTTTTCCTTAGGGAAGGGAACTCACTGTGTAGGTTACCAGGGATGGGAGGGAAAATTTCAGACTAGTCACATGCTGATTTGGGTAAGGGAAGGGACAGTATGGAAAGAGTCTGTGACCAGCATGGTAATACTGAAGAAAGGGAAGACACCAAAGATACAGATGACAGAGGCAAATATTAGTATATGCACATTACTGCATTACCACTGACACCAAGCACCAGATTACAGATAAATGCATACACAACTAAGATCAGATGGGGGTCAGCGAACAGGAATGTACCCTAGATCAATCATAGACTTAGCTGAAGATAATCTTGCATAGATACTGTTTTGTTGTTGTTGTTATGTGTCATCGAGTCGGCCCCAACTCATAGTGACCCCTCCTTGGGTTTCCAAGGCAGTATCACTATGGAAGTAGACTGCCCAATCTTCCTTCTGAGGAATGGCTGGTGGGTTTGAACCACCAGCCTTCTGGTTATCAGTCAAGTGCCTTAGGCACTACGCTACCAGAGCTCCTACATAGATACTAGCAATATAAAATAACCACAATCATTACAGAATCAACAGAAGACAGAGTTGGAGTAATCCCTGAGAGACAACCAAACACCTTGGGAGACAGAACCACTGCCAACTCAGGACCATAGTATTGAAGGACACCAGGCTCAATGGCACATAATACATAAAAATCTTGTTTCACAACCTATTTTGGTGAGTAGCGACTGGGGTCTTAAAGGCTTCTGAGTGGCCATCTAAGATGCACAAATGGTCTCTTGTCTGAAGCAGAGAGAAGCAAAGAAAATCAAGGACATTTGGAAACAATTAGTCCATACACTAGTATATGCACAATGCTGCATTACTACTAACACCAAACACCAGGCTACAGATAAACACATAGACAATTGAGAAGATCAAATGACAGTCAGTGAACAGGAATATATATGCTCTAGCACAATGACAGATTCAGATGAGAATAATCTTGCACAGATAACAGTGACACAAAATACCCACAATCATTACAGAAGCAACAGAAGACAAACTTGGAGTAATCCCTCAGAGACAGCCAAACATGTTGGGAGAGAGAACCGCCAGGTCTATTATTGGGGAACCAATACTATGGTATTGGGAGACACGAGGCTCAATTGGCATAACGTAAGACATCAAAATCTTGTTCCACAACCTACTTTGGTGAGTAGTGACTGGGGTCTTAAAAGCTTTTGAGTGGCCATCTAAGATGCAGCTAATGGTCTCCTCTCTAATAAAGCGAAGAAGAGTGAAGAAAACCAACGGTACTTGGAACCAATCAGCCCTAGGATATAATGGACCTCAAGAACAAAAGAACTGGATGGTGGCTGGCTACCAATGCCAGCCACTCAGGAAGAGATTAAAACTGGAGATCCTTGATAAGAGTGGGAGGAAAAATGTGGAACAAAACTCAAGAACACAGTAATGACCAGAATTACTGGTCAGATGGAGTCTGGTGGGACCCCCAGAGTATGGCCCTGGGATACCCTTTGGCCTGGGATAGGACTCACTCCCAAGGACTGGCCCTCATCCCAACAGTAGAAAGACTTAAAGTGCAGAGAACACCCAACTCAGGGTGATGCACCCACCTACTCTACAGAGATACACCTCTTGGAGCAATCGGCCATGGGGCACCAGGAGAGCAGCATTCACATGGAGGGAAAGCTGTACAGACAGGAGTGAATAGTTAAGAAGGGCACAGGGAGTGGGGGCTCACAGGGAAAGGAAGGGGAGGAGAGTGCGCTAGGGTTGGGGATCGTAATCAGGGTGTGAAATCAAATGTACACGAACTGTTGTTGAACAAATTCTGCTCTGTAAATCTGCACCCAAAGCATAAAAAAAAAGAAATCAAAGGAAAATAAAAATCAGATTCATGTGTCCATTAAAAAAAAAAAAAATGGGTAATTCACTATATTACATGTTCTTTTTCTTTGAAATAAAAATTCTCTTTTATTAATAAACATTAAGTTTCTGACTCGATGGCACATAACAACAAGTTCAGGCTAATTATTTTGGCATTTTTGCTTCAGATAGTTTTCTAAAAGAGAACATAATATTGGTGTTGTTAGGTACTGTCCAATCGGTTCTGACTCACTGCGACCTTATGTACAACAGAATGAAACACAGTCTGTTCCCATGCCATCCTCACAATTATTGCTATGTTAGAGTCCATTGTTGGCAGCCACTGGGTCAATCCATCTCATTGAGGGCCTTCCTTTTTTTCACTGACCCTCCACTTTAACCAAGCATGATATCCTTCTTCAGGGACTGGTCCATCTTAATAACATGTCCAAAGTTATTACATAACACAAAGTCTTGCCATTCTCAGTTCTAAGGAGCATTCTGGCTATACTTCCAAGACAGATTTGCTTATTATTCTGGCAGTCCACGGCACATTCAACATTCTTCACCAACATGTAATTCAAAGGCATCAATTCTTCTTCAGTCTTCCTGATTCATTGTCCAGGTTTCAACATGTAAATGAGATGACTGAAAATACCATGGTTTGGACAAGTGCACCTTAGTGCTCAAGGTGACATCTTTGCTTTCTAACACTTTAATGAGGCCTTTTGCAACAGATTTGACCAATGTAATATATCACCTGAATTTTTAATTACTGCATGAGTGTTGATTGTGGATCCAAGTAAAATTTTAAGCCTTGACAACTTAAATCTTTTCTCCATTTATCGTGATGTTGCTGACTGGTGCAGTTGTGAGATTTTTGTTTTATGTTGAGACACGATACATACTGAAGGCTGTATTCTTTGATCTTCATCAGTAACTGCTTCAAGTCTTCTTCGCTTTCAGCAAGCAAGGCTATGTCATAAGCATATCACAGGTTGTTAATGATTTTTCCTGATGCTGTGTTCCTCTTCATATAGACCAGCTTCTTGGATTATTTACTCAACATACAGACTGAATAAGTACGGTGAAAGGATATAACCCTGACGTATACCTTTCCTGATTTTACACTATTCAGCATACCCTTTTTCTATTAGAACATCTACCTCCTGATCTATGTACAGGTTCCTCATAAGCACAACTAACTGTTCTAGAACTCCCATTCTTCACAATGTTATCCATAATTTGTTATGATTCACAGTTGAATGCCTTTGGATAGTCGATAAAATACAAGTAAACATCTTTCTGGTATTCTCTGCATCCAGCCTAGATTCATCTGACATCAGAAATGATATCCCTCGTTCTACTTCTTCTTCTGAATCTGCTTGAATTTCTGGCAGTTCTCCATCAATATACTGTTGTTGTTGTTATGTGCCATTGAGTCAGACATGACTCACAGCGGCCCCTCCTTGGGTTTCCAAGGCACTATCACTATGGAAGTAGATTGCCCTACCTTCCATGTGAGGAGTGGCTGGTGGGTTTGAACCGCCAGCTTTCTGGTTAGCAGCCAAGTGCCTTAGGCACTATGCTCCCAGAGCTCCTATTAATGTACTACTGCAACTGTTTCTGAGTATCTTCAGCAAAATTTTACTTGTGAGTGATATTAGTGACATTGTTTGAACATATTAAAGTCTTCTTTTTACCCTTCCCTCAGTTCCTTCATTTATATCTATTCTGTAGTGAAATTCAATATGAAGATTTGTTTTCTATCTTAGTCTAACATAATCAAACTTGTTCATGTTATCAATATGAAAGTGAAATCCAGTTTCAATTATTGTCTTGAAAAAAATTTTAAATCCACAAGTATAATCTCATGATTCTAAATATAGCTTTCACAAGGATTTTTTATTAAGCTACATGGCAACTCAGCAATAATTATGTCCTAATTGGGAGCTCTGGTGGCACAGTACTTAAGGCATTTAACTGCTAACCAGAAGGCTGGCAGTTCAAACCTACCAGCCATTCCTCGGAAGAAAAATTGGGCAATCTACTTCTGTAGAGATATTGCCTCAGCAAACTAAGGAGGGGTCACTATGAGTCAGAACCAACTTGACAGTGGTGAGTTTTTCAGTTTTAATTGTCAATATTACTCCTAACCTGGATCTACTACATGATTTTTAGTGCTTCCTCCTCTTGAACGGACACTAGAAGCAAAGTTTATGCTTCACCACTCTCTTTACCACCAGTATTAACAGAACTGCTTATCTCTGAATGTCATCTTCACGATGCCACCAATTATCAAAGAGAAAATGCAATACAGGTAAATACTTTCAAGCATTTATTGATTCTATTTAACTGCCACATTTCTAGTACATTCAAAAGCCTTAAAACCACAGGCTGGTGTCTGGACCTCATCTAATCTACCCTCTATCAAATGGGCAGATTCGGTAGTTAGTTAGTTGTGTGTTAGGTTGGTTGGGCCTGGTTTTGATTGGCTGGGCAGCTGGATTAAGTTATTCCCCATGATGAGACTGGCCATCAGCTCCACGGTGGAATCTACTAGAACAGCTGAGCAGCTGCCTTAGGGATGTGGTCTGCTTCCAGTATATAAGTCAGTTTTGAGAAAGGTTCCTAGAGTTTTTTGGCATGCTTGGACCCTGCATGTAGCTAAGTCTTCATTCAGCAGCCTGCCATGTTTCCTACTTATCTTGGGACTGTCTCTGGACTTCAACTAGTTGCCCACCATGTTGTTTGGTAATCTTGGGACTGTGCCATTTTATTTATTGACCTTGTGTTTCTCAGCCTCAGCAACAGAACAGCTGCCTGAGTGAAAAGATGCCTCCAGCTCCAGTGGGCCGGAAGCAAGAGGCAGAGCTGAAGGCCAAGGTTGATGGGCTTTTACCCAGCCACTAGAGCTGGCACTTTGAACTCAGACTTCCAGCCTCCTGAAGGGTAAGAGAATAAACTCTTTGTTTGTTAAAGCCACCCACTTGTGGTATTTTGTGTTAGAGCAGCATGAGGTAACCGAAACAGCAGATTCTATTCTTGGGAACCCAGAAAAGTCTCTTTGCCTCTCAAAAGCTTACTCTCCTAACCCTGAGGTCCAACAAAGGGGGCAAAATCATAATAAAAAACCTCTGGTCTAGCAGATGCTTTCAGCAGCAAAGTTCAGTGGATACTTTTCTTACACAAATAGGTCGGAACATGAAAAAAGCATTAACTGTTCCAATTTCACTCTAACCAGATTTTTAAAGTAATTTAAATAAGAGCCATTCCCTAAGACCTGGACAGAGCCTGTTATGAAAACCTCCTATAAAGAGATTTTACTATTTTGTTAAGAAAAATAGTGCCAAATAAACCATTACAATTTCTATTTCTTCTTTCTACTCTTATTTTCCAAATGTTCTTGAATATGAATGTATAATTTTCATAATGGAAAAAATGTAAATGAGGAAAATATTCGCCAACTTAAAAGCCTTAACCTTTAGCTGCCATATCCAGCACTCAGCTTTAAATCCCAAAACTTTAACCAGGCCCAAACACAATTACCTGTTGTATAGTAGAAACAGTCTAATGATGCACTTTCATTCAAAAAACAAACAGGCTAATTTTAAGTCTAATATATCACTACTGTGATGCACACATGGATGTGGCTTCCAGCTCCCCTGGACAGGAAGCTGCCTCGAAACATGCATCCTGACCTGGTATTTGCATCCCTAATAGCATCTTATTTAACCAAGTGCAGTAAAGGCTTGCTGAAACAGAAGTGAGGCAATCTAGAGCTATCCTCCTTTAAAGTTTACTTTTTTTTCCTTTACTGGATTGTCTTTTTATGTTTATTTAGTTTCTTCTTCCTGTTGTTGAGAATATATACAGTTTAAAAAACCAAACTCACTGCCATCGAGCCAGTCCCGACTCATAGCGACCCTTCCTTGAATTCTGTGGCAGTATCTCTATGGAAGTAGATTGCCTAGTCTTCCTTCCGACAGTTTAACATATATCAAATTTGACAGTTTCTACAAGTACAATCCAGTGACACTAATAGTTCTTTGAGTTATGCAACCATTCTCTTTTTCTGAGTTGTTCCTCCCTCATTAAGATAAACTCACTGCCCCCTAAGGTTCCTACCTAATCTTCGAAGGTTGCTCTTATCCATTTGATCCCAGAGAGATAGTTCTTAAAAGAGCGTAACACACAAGGCAGACATTTTTTCAACCACTTAAGCTAAATTATTATTTGGTTTTATTTAAGAAGATTTCAGGGATATTTTTGTTGTAAGAATTAAAGACTATTTCAGGGTAATAATAGTTTCAGAGGTTCATCCAGCCCCCTTGGCTCCAGAAAGTAATTGTAATTTCTATTCTTCATTTTCCGTCTTTTGATCAGAATTTTTCTAAAGAACATTTGATCAAAATGTTCAGTAATGGTAGCTGAGTACCATCCAGTTCTGGTCTCATGGCAAAGGAGGCAGCTGTTCCTGAAGGCGATGAGCCATGCATTCCATTTCCTCCTCCTATTTCTGACTCTCCTTCTTCCCTGTTGCTCTACGCAAACAGGAGCAATTATTGTGCCTTGGATGGTTGCCTGCAAGCTTTTACAACCCCCGACCATGCAAGGAACTCCACACTTCTCAAGAATCTGGGACTGTTTCTCTTATTTCTAAGATCAAGCCTTGAGGGACAGATCCTTGAAAGCTCCTCCTCCATGGCAGTCTACAACACTGGGCCAAGCGGGTGCAGCTCCACAGGGCATGGTGACCCAGTGACAGCACAGCAGGGATGGCCGCAGGCCCAGCTGTGGTACAACTCCAGCTGAAATGAGAGGGTGTCAGACAGCAACGGGTGATGCATCCCTCACAAGCCGACCTGGATGCCAGTGCCGCCACCATGTTTGGGCCATGAGGCTGCCCAGGTGGTCCAGCAGCCCCAACTGGTGCAGGTGAGGGCTCACCACTTGCCCACTCTGACACTCCCGAACAAGGCCACTTGGCTCCCAGCCTAAGCTTTACCTCCTTAGCCTGATATCCCATAGACACCCCAGCTGTTGGTGCCACACAACTAAGAGTTAAATCTTTCTCTGCCTTGCCATGACACAAGTCAAGATATCAAGAGAACACTCACCCCCCAAAACCAGAGGATGTTACCACTGCCATCTCCTCCTGGAAGCTAGAGAATATTTTTAGTATGTGGCTACTTTGCCTGTCAAGGAATGCAGCATATAATAAAATTAAATGGAATATAAGGTTGCCTTTTAACTCAAGGTTAGTTTTAAATACTAACTTATTTTAAATGAGCAGAATAGCTAATTTAAAGAGGCTTTTAATAAAAAGGTCACATCAATCACTTTATAGCACTTTTCCCACTATGTAGAGCAATGTCGTCCAATAGAACTTTCTCCAAGGATGAATATGTCTATAGCCATGCTATCCAACCAAAAAAGTAGCCCCTAGCCACATATACTGAGTATTTGAAATGTGGTAACTGAGAATCAACCAAATTTTTAGTTTTAATGAATTTAAACTTCAATTGCCACATGTGACTAGTGAGTGTCCTACCAGACAATACAAAGACTAAATTACAGTTGGAGACTGTAATTAAGTGAGGATGAGTGTGGGCGGGTATTCAACAAAGTGGGAGGTTGGTTCCTGGCATAGCATATGGGAGAGGTTGGATTCTGATAAGGTAAACTTCCTTCTCAGTATTACAGGAAGAATTCACAGATAAAGAAAATATGTTCAGAGGCTGCACAGAAATGTGCCTCCCTCCCCTTCTCACACAAAATATCAATCATTGAAAGTGTTCATCTTCTCTCAAGTAGACAAACAGTGGTCAAAGATTAGTTCCGGTCTCACAAACACCAGTAGGAGCTAAGACCTTATGAAGTTGTACACAAAAATTAAATGACATCAGAAGGCAGGAAGGAGCAGTGGAAAGCACGGGGAGGAATGATGTTACATTGAGGGGTTTGCAATCAATGACATGAAACAACATGTGTGTGAGGTGTTGTATGGGAAACTCATTTGCTCTGTAAACTTTCACCCAAATCACAATAAAAAGTTAAAAAAAATTAAATGACAATGACTATAGCAGCTTAAATGTAAACTGCTATGGTCTCAGGAACTGGTTCTCCTAGTATTAATGAGAGATTAACGCTGAATTTTACTGATGTCCAGTATTTCTAACGATACTTACCACAAAAAAAACATCAACTCCTCTTTTCTGGATTCCTTGGTTTCAAAGCTTGCATCATACAAAGCATAGCGACAATCTTTTTCAGGAAGCATTCCCACAAAATGCTTGAAAGGATCGGTTATGGTTACACCAATATCTCCAACCAAGATCTCTTTGCCTTCTTCTACAATGATGCACTTTTTGTCTGCACTGAGACAAAAAATGACAGCCTTCTTTCTTTTCTTGATTTCTTCTGGTGTGGAGCACTTCCGAACTTTCATGTCATAAAAAATGCGACATACTTCATCAGCAACTTGCACTCCTGAGGCCTAGAATGAGAAGAAAAATGCAAATTTCTATCATGTCAAATATAAAACACCTGACTTTCAGTTACAGATGGGCACACGCTTCCAAATTTTAAGGTATATTTACCATCCAATAAGAAAACTATAAAATCTGAGCTGTAATCACCACTAATTTCAGACATCAAACTTTTTAAAAATATTATATTATAAGCCATTGATTGCCATGATGTGAGGGTAAGAAATGATTCAGCTACAATAATCCCTCACACCCTAAAATTTGGAAAGACGTGCTTTCACAGTTGCTGCATTATTTTCTTCTTACAGAGGTTGCTTAGAGCCACAATCATGACATCAATTACCAAGTTCCATTCAAATGCACAGTAGATGGTCAGAGTTGCTGGGTTGGGAAAATTCCATTCCCACAGTATTTTGTTGTTGTTGTTGTTGTTAATTCCATTCCCACAGTATTTTGTTGTTGTTGTTGTTAATTCCATTCCCACAGTATTTTGTTGTTGTTGTTGTTGTTATATGCTGTCGAGTTGGCCCTGACTCATAGCAACCCCTCCCTGGGTTTCCGAGGCAGTATCACTACGGAAGTAGGATTGCCCAACCTTCCTTCCGA